CGTGTCAGATTTACGTTAAGTCGCTCAAAGAAAGCTCAAGTACACATAATGACCAGTTAAGCGGTTGACGCTCGCAAACTGCATGATCTACGTGAAGTCTTCATCTTCGGAACCCTCTCCCATGACTCGCGACCGTCTCCTTAGTATATTAATTACATGTAAGGCCAGGTGTAGCTTTTTAGTGACAACTTTTCCCGCTTGAGGCGCCACTTGACGGGACAGCAGGCAAGCTAGTCAACGTTTAGAGATGTAAAGTGAAGAAAACAAACACTATCTAATGAAGAAAAAAAAAAAAAAAACGGTGAAAGAACTTAAAACAATTTTGAAAAAATATGGCAAAAATGTAAGTGGAAGGGGGGGGGGAGAACAGTTGATTGCAAGAATGAATACCATTCGCGACCAAGAACTGTATATTTCACATGATTGCTTTACCGATGAAAAATTGAGAGACTTACAGTGGAGCGCTGATTTGGGAGATGGTCCACCGTGTCCAGTTCACAATAATACCCCCGAGACATGTTAAATAATTTTAATGGAGTCGCTTGCTTGCGCGCTCGACTCATTTTATGACCTTACAATTCAATCTATAAGTTCGTCGAACCTCGAGGCAAAGACGACAATTTCATTGTTATAGCCTATGTGGTTTGTTTCTTAAGTAACAGCGTGTTCAAATGTAGTGAAGTCGAACACAAGCTGCTACTACAAAATGCACAAAATATACTTAAAATGACAAAGAATATTATTGCAAGACTTGAAACACGACTTACAGTTACAGTGTATGTTGATATATCTAACGCAAAATGCAGAGAATAATGAATAAGAAAAAAAGAGATTGGAATTCATCCAAAAGCATAAAATCATCAATTAATGACAGCGAATCGATCCACTTGGAGATTTTTCACCTCTAATCCTCTTCCGAAATAGACTCAGAAGCCGGCACTGTAGTGCGTTACTTGGTGCTTTTTGTAACTCTTGGTTGTTTTTAGTTCAAATTTCAGTTTTTAGTTTTTTGGCTGCGATTTCACCGCTTCATGTTTAATTTAGTTTATGTCAGCAAATGGAGCATGACTAGTGTCTTGACAATAACTTCTATCGCCCCTGGAAGAGTCAACAGGATACTGTTTATTAAAAACCGAGAAAAGGGAAAGGGTGTAATACCATCTCGCCTTCTGCCTACCCTCCATCAGGGCCACAAATTGACTTTTCAGTAGATATACACAGTTATGTACATGTATCTGGCTAATTCACGGTACAATATTCTCTATGCGTTGTAACAAAGTGCACATAAATAATCTGCAGCCCTGGTAGAGGGTACCTTCTGTTATAAGCATTACTATACATAGTGGACTCGAAAATGGTCGTTTTCGGCTAGTGGGGCGATTGACGTCATAGCGATAAGAATAGCGATAAGGTAATAGCTGTAGATTTCAACATACACCATTGCTGTATTATAAGGGATTAAGGTAATTAACCTGTTAATGTCAACATCAACAGTGAACGGCACAGTGAAAAACAACTAAATGTGAATGATCTGAAGTGCCTTTGAAACTTTCACTTGTGATCGATGATGTTATCCCCTTGATGAAGACATAGCAATGGCATTTGTGGTTATCATAATTTTGAATAAGAATCATAAATAATGCACATAAAAATGTTTACACACTTCCTTATCATTTCAGGGTTTGGTATCTTTGTAAACCCATGTTACAAAATTTCCCATGTCATATCTGTATATTGGATCAAACCATGATGAAAGTTTCTTAATGCAAGAAGGAAATTAAAGGAAATTGCAAATCATTTATCCATTTAAATTTCCCATTTAACAAATGTAAAAGGTACTATGATGAAAAAAATCCAGTCACACAAAATCAACGATGTAAAACTTTACATTTTCAAATTGATTACTTTGACATTCTAAACACCTCTTTTGTAACAATAATTGATTTTAATTATCCTGACAGTTTTTAAAAATTTTTGTAGATGAACGAAATATGTCAACAATCCATTTTTTTGGAATTAGAAGTTGCAAAGCTCCGAAAAATGGAATAAAAACTGGCGCACCTGAACAGCTTGACAATCTCAGGCTTTTGTCCGATATGAAGCAACATGTGAAAAAGTCAATTTTGGGTTTCAATAAGTTAACCTTAAGAAAATCAGTCAATAGTGATCTGTTTGGTGGTTTATAAAACGGAATCTATTTGAATTTGTATCACAATGGTTATTAACATTACCTTATGAATGTGATTAGCTTACTTGCGTTTTATTTTACACTTTTATCCAATATTCTTATCTCTGCCAATTGAAGGACTAGTGAGTGGAGATAGGGACATTTTGATCAATAAAGACAGCAGAAGTTGAACACACACACACACACACACACGCTTGAGTAACCAATTATTACAAACTGACTGTGGCTACGCTTTGTGGTATCAAATGGAGCATACCTGTTAAAGGCAAAATGAATAATTTCTGATCATATTCTTATCCACTGGAAAAAAGTCAAACCGCATGAAAACGGCAAATGTGGTGCCTTCCAAGGGTTGCACAACTTTAAGCAATGTTCAAAACAATTTAAGTAGTTTAAAAGTGCAATCATTAGATACGGATGCGACCAGGTGGGAGGCTTGAAAAGGCCTAATGCTTGTGCACAAGTTAATGAAATAATAATGATACATTTTACGAATTTTGGACAATTTTGAGAGCTTTGCTTATTCACTTCCCGGTACATATTCAGAGAGAGAGAGAGAGAGAGAGAGAGAGAGAGAGAGAGAGAGACCAAAAGTGAATGCTGTCACAGATTTGGTCCTTTTTATCTTTAAAAGTGAATGTAGGATGTAGTAGAAACAAAAAGCATAGAGAACATTTTCTTTTTTGAAACTTTCAAAAATAATTTGTACCGAGAATACATACCAATCTACACCGATCATAAAACGATTAAAATGAAGACTAGAAATCCTGAAATCAGGCATAATCCTGAAAACTTCACCCATGTTCAATAATGCGAAATCAATATTTTCATGAAACTTCAAACTGATCTAAACGAAAGAACAACTTAGTGACTGAGAAAACATTGAAATGGAATGTGGGGATGTCGAAACAGTGAAGATATGGATAAAACATCTTTAAAATAATAAAAAACATTCGCAACAAGTTCTAGCTTTAGACTGTTTTCTACCCTGTGTCATGTCAACTCTCCGCTACTTTCATATCAAGTTCCACTGCTCTTTATCCATTGATTTACAGATCAATATTGTTTTAGGTTACGAAAACAACAATAACATGAGCATGATTCACAATAAATCGGTTCAAGTGGAATTTAAAGAAACATAATTAGCTCCATAGTTTGATTTCAGGTAGGTAAATTATTGAAGTAATAAAAAAATAATGTCTTTATTTCCTTATAGCTCCTTTTTCAGAAACACCTGTTATTCAACAGCCTGTGTATGATAAACGCAGTCACGGATGACGAGTACTTGTTTCCGTTATCAATTTATTGATGTCTATCAGTTGTCAGTTCCTTTTCGCGAATGTTTTAAAAGTTCATACCAAATTGGAGATCGATGTCACTTTCACTGATGTCTTAATTTCCGGACAATTTCCACAGACTCACTGAAAAATAATTGTTTAGCGTCGCAAGACACGCCTAGGACGAGGTACTTTCGCCGAAATAGCGGGAATGTCCCAGAAAAAGTTGATGATCTAGATGATACAGTTGGCAACTTTTACCCTCAAGACATCACCAAGGTTTGCTATATAAGGTAGGTTTAACAAGGAATCGACGAACATTATCTTTTACACTGACAACTCAATTGCCGTTTTAAATATCGAACAGGACTACATTTTAAGAATATGTGTAGACAAGGTGAGTGCGCATTTTTTTATAATTTTTGTTTCGAGCAAAAATAATCGGCCATATCTGCCAGAGAGCCGTATGGACTACTATATTCCCTTAATGCAAGTTATAAAGCACGTTCTACCATTCAATTTTATTAAATAAAGTGCATAGTATGGTTTACCATTTTATTGATTTATTTTATACACAGTTGGGTGCACCGGCATCCATATAGCCCATTTCAACCATCATTTTGGACTTATAAAACCATTTTTTTATATATTTTATAGCAGTTTTATGTTTTAATTCAATGATTATCAATTACTTATCTTTTGCTATTGACAAGGAAATTCAGACTTTACCATCGGTTCGAAAAGGTCTTTTTTACTTGATAGCTACTCCACCCCACAATTACTTTCAATTTATTATCATTATTTACTCTTTAAGGGCGTTTCAATATTCATGGATAGTTGAAGTACTCTTTGGGACACACTCTTATAATCATTTTACATAGTAAGCGTAACAAATGTGACAACTTTTCTGTGACTGCCTTTAACACAACACTGTAACGCACCAGTTGTCTCATAATGACTTTTGCACCTGCTAAGGATCGAAATGTCTGCTTTTAAATATTTAAAAATAAACATGAGAAAAAAAAAAACAAAGAATTACATCAGTTGAGATCCTGGACTATTTTGAGAAAATTTGCATACCACGTTCATTTTGTTTCATTTTTGGCTCATTATATATTCCGAGCACATTCCCCGTCCTACCGGGCAAATAAATTGCGCTTTGTTCAGCACCTTCGAGACCGATTCGAGAGCAGTTTTATTAATCAGCACCGTTTATAATAAAAAAAAAATTACAGGTTTAATCACATCAGAAAATAATCATGCCATTCACAATCTTGCGTTGATACCAGTGGACTGGTGTGGTTTTACTCTTAGTTGGTTTAAGTAGCATTTTTGTCACTCCCCCTTTTCTTTCACATTCCCATTTCATTTTTCTACCTCACTTTAAAAAGGTATGCACTCTTTGCACTTTGATATTTTGGTCCACTTCTCCTTCTTTATTGACACCGTGAGGCGCTGCTACATATGTTTATACATCACTGGCTTTTTTGAATTTGGCGTATACATAATTCATTATAATCATTATCATATTTTAACACACACATGGTAAGTTACCATGTCGCCAAACAGCGTAAGATCACAGAATGCAGCAATAAGGTACGTCTGTGTACTTGCGGTTTTTAAGTATAACGCGGAGGGCATTCTAAGTTTATTTCTCCGCATAGTTTAAGTGTAATTTACCGTCCACTATTGTGTCAATGATATCTACGCTTTACAGGTGGCTGCACGTTCCTTGGCGTATTCATACTTATGCTTTACTTCCTCGTCTGCCGAGGAAGGGAACACTCTCCAAAGCCAGTGTGTGCCACTCTTGCCTGCTCCATTACTCGTGTGATAGAAGTTGACTTCTCCAACCCTTGTGGCCGTGAGTATAACAACAGACTTAATTTTTATATGTATGTATTATTAAATCTTTGCATGCATTGTGAAGGACGGACTTGAGGTAAACTGTGTCGTGAACGTGTAAATAGAGATTTGAGTTGTCGCTCTGTGCATTTTCTCAATGTTATGAAAAATGTTTAGGGTCACCGTAATGTTTTTGAAATTGGCAATCTCTCTGCGAATTATCTTAACTCGAATTTAATATCTTAACACCTTGACATGACCAGTAATCCCCGTTTTATGGCCTATAGCCTTTCCTAAAAGCTTATCATAGGGGTAATAAGGATGCGAAAAACACTGAGAAACAAACATGATTTTACTTTATAACGGACCCTGGCAGTAATTGAAACCACATTGTGTAGGTATGGTAAACGGCATTTTTTCAAAATAAATACCAACTTGCATTGAAATCATTGTTATATTTAGTTAGCAATTCATATAGATTATAGTGTGACAAGTACAAGCTGTAAAATGTTATGTTAGCAACTCCTGAGTAGATTAAGATCTTTGTTGGATTTTGTCCTTTTTGCCCCCCCCCCCCAGACGCACTATCTAAGCATACGATGTTTGGGGGGGGGGGGGGG